CAAAGCCTTGGGGCTCTGCACCCATGTGGGTGAACCTGGAAGAAACTCCAGGCTCCTGGCTTCAGATTGGCTCACCTCCATCTGTTGTGGCACCTGCAGAGTGAATCAACAGGTGGAAGATCTTCCTTTCTGTCTCTTCTCCTCTCTGTATATCTGATTTTGCAATAAAAATAAAATATTTAAAATATAACCTTGCCTTTTAATTGATTTTTGAGGTACCCTCTAAGTTTATGAATGTGTACTTCCAAGTAAAACTTAGCCACTTGTGATTGCTTGCGGTGTTTGCTCATGTCCTTGCTTTCCCTGGATGTTCTCTTGAGTGAGTTACCATGGGGCTCAAGATGTGGACGATCTTTGCGTTAAACAACTTAACTCTTATAACTATTATATGTTAAGAAATAGAGAAGACACTTGGAATTTCATATGCACCATTTATGGTTTTTGCATTTCATACAGTCTTCCATTTGATGTTGTTTGCTCATTACATATGTGTGATTTTCACTGCTTGAACAGATGAATTCTGTCAGTGAGATGATGTATACTGAAGAAACCTTAGAATGTTTACTTACGGGTACTCAGAACAGTACTCAGAATGTCACCTTTTAATAACATCTTCTAGCGAAAGCCCAAGATAATTGCAGAGAGATATAATTGCAGAGATTTTGTTTTTCATTTGCCTAATAGTGACTGGTTCTCACAGTGACCATGCTCTTTCATCTTCATCATTGTAGAACTAAAATGCTATATTTTTTTTTTTATTTTTTTAAAATGCTATATTTTTAAATGATAACTTTGTCCATAACATTGTGAGAATGAATTAAATATATTTTGTAGATTATTTTGAAAACATTCTTTAACCCATAAACACACAATTATTCAGATAATAGCATCTATTCAGTTAATCATAGCATTTGGATAGTTCAAGTGTTTTAAGTAAAAGGAGATATTTGATTACTTACTGGTATAATGAACCCAAGGCTTTTGTCAGCTTGCATCAGACTCACTGAGAAAGTTGAAGAAAACATTGGTGGTCCCCAGCCGGGGAGTTTCAGATGTAGGTGTGAGCAATGGGAATTTGCATTTGTATTTACACATTTATTTTGATGCTGCTGTTATTACAGTACCACACTTTGAGTAATCACTGGGATTAGGTTATATAATGTCTTCAAATTTATAGAAAATGTCAACATTTAAATCCCGTTTTCATGCTTTAACAAATATTAAAATGTTTTGTTACTTCAGATTCCCTTTCCTTTTTTTAGAAGGGAAAATGCATTTAAACATGTATACTTCTCCCATCAACTGATTCACTTCCTGAGAAAATAACCGCTCTCTGAAATGTAATACTTCCCATACTATACCTTTGTTTTGTGTGTATGTGTACAAGAGGCATTTTGCATGTTTCAGAATATTGATATATGGAAAAATATCCATACATGATTTATCATGCATCTTTTTAAAGATTTATTTATTTATTGGAAAGTTAGATATACAGAGAGGAGGAGAGACAGAGAGGAAGATCTTCCGTCCATGAATCACTCCCCAAGTGAGTGCAACGGCCGGTGCTATGCCGATCCGAAGCCAGGATCCAGGAACTTCTTCCGAGTATCCCACATGGGTGCAGGGTCCCAAAGCTTTGGGCCACCCTCGACTGCTTTCCCGGGCCACAAGCAGGGAGCTAGATGGGAAGTGGAGCTGCCAGGATTAGAGCCGGCGTACATATGGGATCCCGGAGGGTTCAGGGCTAGGACTTTAGCCGCTAGGCCACGCCACCAGGCCCTTAATATGTTATTTTAATCATTTATACGATAGTGCAATTTTCATCAGTATACCACATTTATTTGACATGCAATTCCATTGGTTGGTATTTAGGTTGTCTCAGTTATATGCTTTCATTTTCCTACTTTTATTTTACATATATCTTTCCTTGCAGGGTGAAGTGTTTTTCATTATTGATATAAATATTTTATTTATTCTAATCCTAACTTAATTTTTTTTTCTTTAAAGATTATTTTATTGGATAGTCAGATTTACAAAGAGAAGGAGAGGACAGAAAAAAATCTTCCATACACTGTTTCACTCTCGAAGTGGCCACAATGGCAGGAGCTGAGCTAATCCAAAGACAGAAGCCAGGAGCTTCTTCTGGGTCTCCCACGTGGGAGCTGGGTCCCAAGGCTTTGGGTTATCCTCAACTGCTTTCCCAGACCACGAGCAGGAAACTGGAATGGAAGTTGAGCAACCAGGATATGAACTGGTAGCCATATGGTATCCTGGTGCATGCAAAGCAAAGACTTTAGCCACAAGGCTGTTATACTCTAATATTAGCTTTTATATACAGTTTATGTGCATGTGTTACAGATGTCTGTTTTGTTGTTGTTAAGATTTATTTTTATTGGAAAGTCAGTTTTACAGAGAGAAGGAGAGACAGAAAGATCTTCCATCCACTGGTTCACTCCCCAACTGACTTTAGCAGCCAAAGCTGAACCAACCCAAGACCAGGAGCCAGGAACAACTTCTGGGTCTCCCAAGTGGGTGCACAGTCCTAAGGTTTTGGACTGTCCTCAACTGCTTTCCCAGGTCACAGGCAGGGAGCTAGAAGGGAAGTGGAGCAGCCAGGATGTGAACTGGCACCCATGTAAGGACTTTAACCATGCAGGCCCTGTAGGTGTCTTTTAATGTGTGACTTGTTACAAGTATTATTTGTCTGAAGACTTAATTGTAAGAATAATTTTGAATAATTTTTAAAGACCTATTTTCTTTGAAATGCAGAATTGGAGAGAAAGAGATCTTCCATCCACTGGTTCACCCAACAGCCATGGGCCACAATAGCCAAGACTGGGCCTGACTGAAGCCCTGAGCTTCATCTGGGTCTGCCATGTGCGTGCAGGCACCCAAGCACTGGGCTATCTTCTGCTGCTTTCCCAGGCCATTAGCAGGGAACTGCTAATGCTTAATGCCTGGCCCTGAAAGAATAATTTTTAGAGTTTAGTTCATCAGAATTTTGCTTTGTACTCTGTGTTGCATGTATGGAACATCTTTTCCTATCTTAGCAAATAAGGGTTCCTACTTTTCTTACAAAAATTAACTTTTTGGTTGTTACATAGACATCCTCTTGGAATGGCTTTTATATTGTGAAAACTATATTCATAATCAGTATTACTACTGATCCTCTTTCTGAACACTGTTGTACTCCACTGGCATGCTTGTCCTTGTGCCAGGTGGTGTTATTTTAGTTAGTAGAACTTCGTAAAAAGTCATCTTTATTACCTTGCTAGTATTCTGGTTTGTCTTGAGTTGGTCTTGGGGTTTCTACTTCTCCAAATAAATCTTTCATTGTACTTGTGAACTCTCACTAAAAACAGTTACCATGATTCAAAGGTGTCATTTAGTTTTTCGAAAGATTAATTTGGAAGGCAATGGTAAGGGATGTAGGAGTCCGAGCAGTGGCTTTCTACACTGCACTACAACACCACGTGCTTTTTTGTCTGGCAGGGAGCTAGATGGGAGGCAGAGCATCTGGGCCTCTACGTGCTGCTCGGCTGGCAGTGTCAGCTGTGACAACCTGTGCCATTATGCCAGCCTTGAGATCTTTAATACATTATCAGTGTTTAACTTTTTGTGTGTTCTGTCTTGAAGGATCTAGTTTTCCAAATCTAGATTTGCACTTTCCAGTATAGTAGCTATACGTGGCTGTTGAACATTTGAAATACAGTTACTTTGGATTAAGATTTACAGTAAGTATAAAATGCATGTCAGATTTCAAAGATATCAATTAAAAGGAACATAAAAATAATTCTCAACATTGGTTACACTTTTTGGAAATAATGAGATAGCTAGAAGATAATCAGTTTATTCCAGAAAATTTCAAAATCATAATTAGCTCAGATTATGTTTCTGGGTTCCAGGGAAACGCTGTGCAGTCCCCCACGCGGGTACAGAGGCCCAAGTGTGCGGTCCATGTGGCACTGCTTTGCCAAGTGCCTCAATGGGGGCTGGCGTGGCAGAGGAGCAGCCAGGGTGTAAGCTGCTGTGCATATGAGCTGCTGCACAATGCCAGCCCTGGGTTTTTTTTTTTAACATGGAAATCTAACTGGCCAGGTACCAGGATAGAGAAAATTTTTTTCTGCTTTTACACTCTGTTTTGTTCCCTAGGTTTATTTGTTAACAAGAAACATGAAATGTCAAGCCGTCTTTATTAATAGGTAGAGCAAGTGCTTCTATTTTGTTACTCAAGACTGTCTTGGCCAAATTTGGTTTGCTTTATTCTCAAGTAAACATTAAAAATAACTCATTGAGTTTTACATAATAACTTCTGGGATTTTTATTGGGATTGTATCATTCTGTAGTCCATTTGATCATAAACATGATATAGGCTTTAATTTCCGTAGGTTTTTAATGTCTATAATATGGGATTCTTTTCTATATGAAGATCTTTATTAAAAAATACTTATTTTATTATTTTTATTAAAAAGTCAGATATACAGAGAAGAGGAGAGACAGAGAGAAAGATCTTCTGTCCACTGATTCAATCCCCAAGCGGCCACAATGGCCAAAGCTGAACTGATCTGAAGCCAGGAGCTTCTTCCTGGTCTCCCATATGGGTGCAGGGTCCCAAGGCTTTGGGCCTGCTTTCCCAGGCCACAAGCAGAAAGATGGGTGGGAAGCGAGGCTGCCAGGATTAGAACTGGCGCCCATATGGGATCTCAACGCATGCAAGGTGAGGGCTTTAATCACTAGGCTACCACACTGGGCCCATAAAGGTCATTTTAAACAAGACTTACTCATTTGTTTCAAAGGCGTAGTGACACTGGTGGTGCAGGGGTTGAGGGCACAGACGTCTTGGTCTGATGACTCACTTTCCTAATGGCTGTGATTGTTGGGGCGGAGCCAGGCCAAAGCAGGAACCTGGAACTCCATCCAGTCTCCCATAGGAGTGTCATGGGCCCAAGTGCTTGTTTCAGCATCTGCTGCTTTCGCAGGCACATTAGCAGGGAGCTGGAGCTGAAGTGGAACAACTGGGGACTTGAACCAGCACTCGTGGGATGCTGGCATCACAAGCTGTGGCTTAACCTACTGTGCTACAATGACAGCTCCTATTTAAGGGTCTCAGACATCATAGCTGAGAGCTGCTATAAACGGTATTCTCTGATTTTATAGTCTGCTTATTGCTAGCATATACAAAACAAGTAAGTGTTGGTGGTTTTCCTTAAATTTAGTACTGAATGATTAATTCTAGTAAACTCCATTTGATTGTGTTAATTTTATTTTTCCTTCTTGCTTCTTAAGTATCTTACTATTTTATTTCTTCTTTATTTACTGTATTGATCAGGCCCTCCAGGGCAGGGCCCAGTAGTCTTTTTGTAGAGGGACAAGCAGGAAGGAAACTAACAGTTCCCCTGTGACTATGCAGATTCCTTCATGGTTTGCTTAGCGGGTTCCGAGTGCTAGTGAGAATGTCCTTAGTTACGTGTGTTCGTTTGAAGGGCTATGTGCGCTTTTGATGAAATGAAAGGGGTCAGTTTTATGGGGAGTTGGGGAGAAGAATGATTTACAACAGTGAAAAAAAAAAAGAAAAAAAGACAGTAAGGCATCTTGGTAACTGCTGGAAAGGTTTGGATTCTTTTGAGTGTGCCTGGGTAAAAATGCTGGTCTGTAATGCTTGTCTCTCTCTTTTTAATCTATTCAGGAAAAATAGAAATGAAGGTACATATGCACACAAAATTTTGCCTCATTTGTTTGCTGACATTTATTTTTCATCATTGCAACCATTGCCATGAAGACCATGACCACGGCCCTGAGGAGTTTCACAGGCACCATCGTGGGATGACGGAATTGGAACCAAGCAAATTTTCAGTGCAGGATGCTGAAAATGAAAAAAAGTACTATATTGAAAAACTTTTTGACCGTTACGGTGAAAATGGAAGATTATCCTTTTTTGGTCTGGAGAAACTTTTAACAAACTTGGGCCTTGGAGAGATTAAAGTAGTTGAGATTAATCATGAGGACCTTGGCCATGATCATGTTTCTCACTTAGATATTTTGGCAGTTCAAGAGGGAAAGCATTTCCACTCACATAACCACCAGCATTCCCATGATCATTTAAATTCAGAAAATCAAACTGTGACCAGTGTTTCAACAAAAAGAAACCATAAATGTGACCCAGAGAAAGAGACAGTTGAAGTGTCCGTGAAATCCGACGATAAGTACACACGTGAACACAATCATCGCGCACACCATCGCCATCGTTTGCATCATCACCTGGACCGAAACATCACTCGCCATTCTCATAATGATTCCGTTAGCCACAGGGAGCGTGGGGAGCCCCGACATGAACCTTCAACAGAGACCAACAAAACACAGGCCCAGTCTGACATCAGGCCACTGAAAGGAAGGAAGAAGAACAAGGAGAAAAACAATGAAAATTCTGAAGTGAACACACCTGGTTTTTCCCCTGTCCATGGTCAGAGTGAACAGTCTGAGCATAATCGGGTCCACAAACCCGATCGTGTACAAAACGTGGGTCATTCTCACGGACACCTTCCAGAACACAGTGGCCACGGTCACGGTCACGGACACCAAGATGCTGATCCTGAGAACGAAGGGGAGCCTCGACACACAAGGAAGCGAGAAGCACCGCATGTAAAAAAAAGTGCAATTTACCCAGCTGCTAGTCACAAGGACCATAATGAAGATGACCGTCAACATGAAGTGAGTATTAAAGGATGTCCTGTGCTGGCATCGTGGCTCAGATAATAGTGAAGCTTTTCAGAGGAACAGAAAATTAACAGTGGCTAATGGTTAGTCAAGTTCAAATGTATTTCCATATAGAATATTAGCTAACGTTCCTGAGAATCAAGGTCAGTTTAAAGATTTTTAAAATTTGGGTTTTCATATGCATTATTTTTTTAATTTTAAATTTTATTTTTAATATTGTTTACATAGTTGAGGGATGCATGCCCACATGGGCCTCCAGTTAGGGTGGGGAGGATTGAGGTGTGGAGAAGGGTTGTATGGAACAAATGTCTTTTTTATAATCCTGGTGTGCAGTGGGCAGCTCGGGGGGGGGGGGGAGAGGACTGCTTTCTTGCTGTCTGGCTACATCAGCGCCCACCCAGGGATGGGGAACAATCATGATGCCTTAGAGAACCTGAGGTAGAATGTGAGGAAGAATGTTTAAGTAGTTGGTTTTAATAGTTCTGAGGCGTTGTCAACTTCATCGGACCAGAGTTGAGAAAAATCTTTCCAAGGTCTGTTGGCTGATCAAATCCTCCTCAGTGTGCATCCACAGACCCAGAGGCTTGCTGCAAAGCTTGGCCAGAGGAGTTGTCCATCCTGTTCTGCTGCCCATCCTCTGTCAGGGGACTCAGCTTCTTCTGCTGACCTAGATGCTGTCATGCCCCACATGTGCATCTGGGCATGCTGTCCACAGCACAGGTATCAGCAGCTAAGGAGGCCTAGTCCCAAAACATGCTCCCCAAGGTCAGACCACATACCTTGTGATTTGCCCTGTGGCCAGGTTTTGAGTACAATAATCTAGTTGGGGAGTCTGCCAAGAAGCATTGCTTGGGAACTTTTGTATGCGCCAGCTAAGCTCAGTCCCTTACCTGAACCAGCCAGCACACATACCAGTGGATGCAACTGTCTGGTCAGTTCCACCTCCAACCCCAACTCTCATGGAAACTCCCAGCCCAGCCCAGATCACTACAGGCTCAATCTTCATGCACAGCAGTGGGTGCTATGACCTGGTTGAAGCAACCCCCAACAACTCCCACCAGGCCCACCCCCAGCCCCAGTTTTTGCATGTGCTGTGGGCTAGCCTGGTCCACCCTGCATCAAATCTCTCCCTCATGCATAGCCACGGGTGCTACAGCTTACCTCAGCCCTACCTGCCCCCAGACTCAGCCCACACATATGTTGACAGGTGCTGCCACCTTGACCAGTCTCGCCCTCTCCAAGCCCTGGTCTCTTGCTCACCAGCAGGAACTGCAGCCTAGTAGGGAAATGTTCACAGTTCCCTTATAAGGCTTGTTCCCTGCCACAAATCTCACAAGTACTGGTGAGTTCTGTGGCCCTGCTTGACCTGGCCACTCTGGCTGACATGGCATAATGCAACCTGCTCCACACCCATTCTGGTCTCATGAGCACCAGTGGGTGCTGCATCCTTGTCCAGCCCAGTCTACCCACCCTTGCTCTCAAATTCACCAGTGGGAGCTGCATCCTCGCAGGGGAGTCCCTAAAATTTCCCTGCCAGGCCCATTCCTAGCCCCAGATTGACCCATCCTGGCATTACCCACACATAGACTCAGCTCTTGCTGGCATGTGTTGCAGCCTAGCACAGGTAGGCATGGCCCATACCCTGTCCTGGCTGTTGTGCCAATGGGTGTTGTAGCCTGGTCTGGCCAGGCCTATCCCCAGACCCAGCTCACACAAATGCTACAGCCGTGCCTGTCCTGGCCTGGTCCTGGCCCAGGTTCTATGCCTCTCACCCCCTCCCCCTTTGGAGCTGTGGCCTAGAAAAAGAGTTTTCCAAGTTCCCCTACCAGGCCTGTTCCCAGCCCCAGGTCTCATACATGCTGGCATACATGCTTAGCACTGCTTGGCATGGTCTGCCCTCACTCCTAGCCTTTGCATATGCTGCAGCCTGGCCTTGCCCAGCCTCCTCCCAACCCCAGCTCCCTCAGGTGATTTCCTATCAGATGGATTCCATGTTCCAGCCTTGATTGGCCCATCACCCTCCCCAGCATCATGCAAACCAGCTAATGCTACAGTCCCACAGAGGTGAGCTCACAAGTCAATGACAGAATCTGACCCCAGATCCAGTTCTCTCATGTTCCAATAGGTGCTGCTGCCCAGCCTGTCATGACCTACCCCTACCCCAACACTTGCGGGCAGATCCTGTGGCCTAGTCCAGCCAGGCATGCCTTCCAGCCCCAGCTTTTGTGTGTGTCCAGCAGGCAGCTGGTGATGTTACTTAACCTATCCCAGGTCTTCCTTGTGGGTGGGTGCCTTGGCCTGACTCAACATGCCCTCCACTCTCCCCCCATCTACACTATCCCATCTCAGCTCCCTCACCTACCTGTGAATGCAGTGGATCTGTTCCTGGAAGCCCCCAGAAGTCACTCCTCCCCTATCAAATAAACCCTCCGCTGCTCCCGCTCCAGCATGACCCCAGATCCCCTTCCCCAAGCAGTCTGCAGCTGCCCGCCTTCCCTGCCCGGGGACTTGTGTGGCAGGTCCCAACCTGGCGTTCCTTGCCATCCCCACGTATCTTTTTTTTTTTTAAAAGAAGCAATTACACTGGCACACTGGTATAGTTAACACAAACTTGGCATTAACCAGACCCCAAATGGCTACCAGCTATCAATTGCTCTTTTCCCAGCAGTGTAACACTTGCCTTATATAAGGCAACCTAGGCAGTTCAGTTGTCCGCAGCTGGGGCCATGTGTATTATTTGTTTCTTTATGTTCTATAGTTCAAATTCCTTAAATCTCACTGCTAAGTGTTATTAGAAATGTTTTCTGTGCTTTAATTCTGCATTATAACTACTTCCCAAGGTAGTATTCATTCTTTTTTCCACATTCTTATGTTACCATTAACTGGCTTGTAGATATTTGAAAATTCTCTCTCTCTCTCTCTTTTTTTTTTTTTGGTCAGTTGTCCTCTAGGCCATCGATTGGGCCCCCACACACTTTTAAAAAATATGAATTAAGGCCTTAGTGTACTTTTTTTTAACCTTAGTGTACTTTTAAGTATGCTTCTATTACTGTGGACATTTTTGAATCTTTGTTGGGACTAAACATACCTTATTGTTATGTTTCTTCTTTGCATTAGGCCTGTGAGGTCTGCATCATTAACCTTTTATTGGGATTCTCACAGGTGTGATTCATGTAGGAGTTTGTCACAGGATCTTTCAAAATGTTCTACACATTGAATAGGATCTCATTGCATTTGGGATTGAGCAGAATCGTGTGTGTGAAGATTTTGATTGTGTGTGTGTGAGTGTGTGTGTGTGTAGTAGACAGTCTAGAGAAATAACAAGTCAGTGAAGAGGCATGCAGCCGGGTGGATGTGTGTGAAACAAGGCACTGTGCCATCTCTCCTTTACCTTCGTTTTAGATGTTTGTTTTCCCTGGATGATTGATCTAAACTTGTTTTCTGTTTTGTTTTTGAAGTGCTGGTGAAGCTACCCTTATTCATCTTTCAGAATTTTCCCATGTAATATTCCTTTACGGTGCCTATGGCAGTAAAAATGTCCATTGTTCTCTAATCTTAGCACTTTTTATAAGAATTTCAAGTCACTGATGTTTACAATTTGTTAGGTTGTGATTTTTCTCATCCCATAAGAATCTTGGGAATACAAGATGATAACTTGGCTTGTGTGGATTGGAGCAGAAGAATGATTAAATCCCATAAGCGGTCTGAAATAGTCTAGTTGAATGTATGTCATATCAATTCTTATATGAGTTATTTTATTTGTATATATTCTTTATTTGCAATAAATAGCTGTATGTAGCAGATTATTTTCCCACTAATGATTAGAGTACTTTTAGTTCTGGAATGATTGATTTTACTGAATAGCTGGATACTCTTATTTAACTTGTTTTATCAATTTCCTTGCAGTGTTTGAATGTCACTCAGTTGTTAAAATACTATGGTCATGGTGCCAACTCTCCCATCTCACCGGATCTTTTTACATATCTCTGCCCTGCACTGTTATATCAAATCGACAGCCGACTTTGTATCGAACATTTTGACAAACTGTTAGTTGAAGACTTAAATAAGGATAAAAATTTGGCTCCTGAAGATAAAGCAAACATTGGGGCATCAGGTAGGAAAGAGATTTGTTTTATCACTTTAAAATTATACCTGTTCTTTAAAACAAAAAAAAATCAGTTGGAAAATGCCTCCAGATTGTTAACTTCTTTCTATTTTGACTTTAAATGTGATTTTTTGGGTCAAGTTTAGATATGCATGTTTAGAAGTATTTAGGGAAGACAAAAAGTGTCATACATGTTACTCATTTCTTCTGGCATTACAGATGGATATTTTGCTATGAAAGGCAAATGAGATTAAATGGGTAGTTTGTAATAAATATAGAAATCAAGGAAGCCCTGATTAAAATTATTTGGTGTTATCATTACTTAATATTGGGGGTTGTGGGATTCAGGTGAGAAAGATTGTTAAAATTTCACGGTAAAGGAAGGCAGTGGTTAAACTCTAGCCAGTGATGATTGGGTAATGAACTTCATCACCAGGTATTGAGCTTCAAGACAGATAAAGCAGACTCTTTCCTAACCTCCAAGGCTGTTTTCTCTCCATATCCACTTTTACTTATAGAGAATGTCTCACTTAATATTTCAAAAATCTATTCCACACAAATTTGTTCCTCTTATTGGATCTCAGTTGCTATTGCAATTTTTCTCCTGATAAAATCTGAAACTGTATCACTTTCTACCTTGTCCTGTATATCATCAGTTTTGAAGTCCAATGGAGTTTAAATTTAACTGTCTTCCAACTCTGTACATAATGCATCATTGTCTTGAGTCGGCGCCTTCTTGGGGTTTGATTTGAATTGTGGAAAATACTTTATAACTTTCTTTACTGTGCGCTTGTGTCACTTGCAAGGCATTATTGTTTATCATTCTAAAATGCAAACGAAATTGCAAATGAAATCATCTTTTTGTGACTGGTTTATTTTACTTAGCATACTCTTTTTTTCCCCTTAAAGATATATTTTACTTTTATTTGAAAGCACACCAGGATCCCATATGGGCGCCGGTTTTAATCCCAGTGGTCCTGCTTCCCATCCAGCTCCCTGCTTGTGGCCTGGGGAAGCAGTCGAGGATGGCCTAAAGCCTCAGGACCTGCACCTGTGCTGGGGATCTGGCTCCTTCAGATCGGCTCAGCTCCAGCTGTTGTGGCCACTTAGGGAGTGAATCAACAGACGGAAGATCTTTCTGTCTCTCCTCCTCTCTGTATATCTGCCTTTCCCGTAAAAGCAAATATATATTAAAAAAAACCAAAACAATGAATAGGGTTTTTTTTTAATTTTGAAATCTTCTAAATTTTCTAGGTCTTTGTTTTCATGTCAACTGTGGATTATGACTTGGCTTTCATTCTTTATGTTGTAATATTTTCATATCCATATATTGTAATGAAGCTGTTGACAGATGTTTGACTTCAGTAATACAGAAAGTTACAGCTTTTTCTATCTGGAAAGCCTTAGAGGAAATCGTACTTGCTTTGAAAACAAATACATTCCTAATAGTGAATATTGATTAGTTGTTTGCAGGTGTTTATTAGCATTGTCAGAAATGCAGCTTGAATTAATTGTGTCCTGATAGATGTTAATAATTGTTAGAGAGAATGCCCTGCTTGTAATTATTTTTAATGACTGCTGCACCATTAAGAGAGGTTAACTTGTTCTGTATAAATCCTCCCATAGTGACATAGCTCCTACCTCATTAACTTTGTCCAAAGACTGCTGTAAACCAAATATGCTATACACTGTGTATGGTAGAAATCATTTGTTTCCGAAGATTGGCTCATTTAGTCATAGAGTTGACCCTAGCTTAATTACCAAGGAGGGTAGTGAATAGGCCGCTAAGCATTTTCTGCCAATTAAAATGCAGAAACCGTGTGGAAAACTGCCATCTTGCACATGCTTTGAACCAAGCTAATTAGAAAGTTTCCACAGATGAGCGCTTCTTTTTAAAAGAATGCGTTTTCTCTTTAGATAATGAGAGAGGGAGTTGGTGAATAACTAAGCTTGAAGACCTTTAACGTTTTAAGTGACCTAATTTGCAGAATAAGTGAAGCTTGTTTCAGACATTTAGCGCTTTTATTGCATATGGTGTCTAGGGTACAAATAAAGAAAACATTTGCTAGTTGTATTTAATAGTTTACATGTTGTTAGTTTGGCAGAAGTGTCTGCAAAGATGCTTTTTATTCCTTTTTTGTTTTATGTTTTACCAAATAGACTGTGGACGAAAACACACAATTGGTTAGAAATCCAAACAGTTTACTCCCTGCATTGCTGCTGCTTCTGTATGTTGGAAGTTAGGATGGAGTTTATGTAAATGTAAATGTTGTAAATTCTATAAGTAAATGGGAAAAAATTCCAGATTCAGTATATTCCAAGCAACCTCCTTTTTAAAAGATTTATTTATTTGAAAGACAGAATGGTTGGGGGAGTTGGGGAGAAAGAGAGGGAGAACCGTCAGCTGATGAACTTTCCAAATGGCTGATGCAGCCAGTGCTGGGCCAGGCTGGCGTCAGGAGCTAGGAGCCCTTGTATCTCCATAACTCTCTCCATAACTGTCTTTATGATTTTGATCGCCTCATACAAATGAAATTGTATTGTCTCTTTGTGACTGGTTTATTTCACTTAGCAGACTCTTTTTTTTTTTTCCCCCTTAAAGATGTATTTTACTTTTATTTGAAAGGTGGAGTTACAGATAGAGGAGAGACAGAGATCTTCCATCTGCTGGTTTACTCCTCGGATGGTTAGAGCTGAGCCAGTTGGAAGCCAGGAGTTTCTTCCAGGTCTCCCACATGAGTACTGGGGCCCGAGATCTTGAGCCATCCTCCGCTGGCTTTCCAGGCCATACAAAGAGCTGGGTAGGCAGTAAAGCAGCGAGGACTCAAAGCAGTGCCCAGATGGGTTGCAAGTGCTTTAGGTGGAGACTTAGCCTGCCTGGTGTGGGTTCCACTTAGCATCCTCTAATGACCTGAAGTATATTACATATTATGGATTTCCTTCCTTTCTGAGGTCGAGGAGTGTTCCCCGGCAACTACAGCTATACCGCATTTTGCTTATCTAGTCGTTGATTAATGACCGTTTGATTTGCTCCCACATTTAACTATCAAGAAATAATGCTGCTCTGGAAATGGGTGTGTAATATCACTTTAAGACCCTGTTTTCAGAGCTTGCGGGGGTCTATACCCTGACATGGAATTACTAGATAATATGGCAAATTCTGTTTTCCAGTTGTTTCAGAAACTGCCATACTGTTTTGCACAGCAGCTGTATCATTTTACATTTTAGTTTTTCCATCAACAGCAAAAACGGTTCATTTCTGTACATGTTGGCTAACAATAATTCATGTTTTAGTAGTTATCCTGCCAAGTATAGTAATTGTCTCATAGTTTTGATATGCTGTTTCCCAAAAGTTAGGGACGTTGACCATCTTTTTGTCAACATCCAGTTTTGCTTATTTGGTATTTGTTTATCTCCTTTGAAGAATTGTCCCTGTCCTGTTGAATTTTAGGAATTTCCTATTCTGAATATTAATCACACAGCAGATACATAACTTATAAAATTTTCTTCCATTTTGTAATTTGTCTTTCTCTGCAGATACTGACATTTGATGTGTAACTTTTTAAAATATTTTCATAAAATTGTTTTTTTTTCTTTTGTTTGCCCATCACCGGTACATATCTAAGAAATAATCATCATATCCAATGTTGCAAAACTTTTACCCTGTGTTTTTATCTGAGAGTTTTATATTTTTGGCCATTACATTTAATGCAGATTTTTAAATTCATTGTAAGTTAAACTTTTCTATAGTATTAAAGGCCCAACCAACTACATTATCTTACACAAGGATTTTCAGTTTTTCTGAGAGCATCTGTTGAAGACTGTCTTAGCCCTGTTGAGTGGTCTGTACATCCTTATCAAAAATCACTTGCTAGTTTATACTTGAAGATTATTTCTGGGCTTCTATTCCACTGTACTGATTTATATGTCAGTGTGACTGTGTGTTAGTTGGCTTAGCTTTGTATGTTATATTTTTATTTGAAAGTAGAGTTGCAGAGAGAGAGAGAGAGAGAGAGAAGGAGAGACACAAAGATTGATTTTCTATCTGCTGGTGAACTTGCCACATGAATACAATAGCCAGAGCTGGGCTAGTCCGAAGTCAGGAGTCAGGAGCGTCTTCTGGGCCTCCTGCATTGATGGCAGGGACTCAGGGACGTGGGCCATCTTCCACTGCTTTCCCAGACACATTAGGAGAGAGTTGGAAACAGAGCAGCTGGGACTCTAACTGGCATCCATGTGGAATGCTGGCATTCCTAGCAGTAGCTTTGCCCCTGGCTCCTTTGAAATATTTTATATAGCAAGCAATAGGTACTTTTCCCTTGCTAAGGAACTAGAAAAATTATTTGAAGGAGTTAATATTCAAAGTCCTATGGAGATTTTTATTTTGATCTTAAAGAGCAAAGCCTTCTGATTTTTACCATTTTTTTTCTTATTGCTTAATGACCAGCTTATTGACATGCATTTTAAAAAAAGATTTATTTACAAAAGCACAGGAAAGATAGAGAGAGAGAAGGCCTTTCGTCTCTGGTTCACTCCCCAGATTGCCACAGTGGCCAGAGTTGAGCCTGTGCGAAGCCAGACCAAGAATTTCCATCTCCAGTGTGTGTGCAGGGCATCTGAGTCATCCTCCATACCTTTTCAGGGAAGCTAGGAGCTAGATTGGAGATAGAGCAGCCGGGACACACATTATCACCCATAGAAGATGCCAGTGGTATAGGGAGAGGATTAGCCTGGTATGCCACCTCGTCAGTTCCTTGACGTGTGTTGGCTATATAAAAATGAAACAAAAAGTCTTCCTTATTAGTCATTAAAAAAAATAGATGTTGTGGAGGAGAGGGATTTAGCTTATCACATAAGGATACCTTTGTTCCATATCAGAGTGCAGGAGTGCAGTACCTGGATCCAAATTCTGACCCTGGAAGCAAACCTTGCGAGACAGCAGTAGCAGTAATGGCTCGCGGAGTTGGATCCTTGCCCCTGCCATGGGAGACCTTGGTGGAGTTCCTGTCTCCAGCCGCAGTGTTGTGGCCCCAGCCGTGGGGGTATTTGAGGAGTGAGTCACAGTGTACTTTCTGGGTGTTTCTCTGTTTCCGCCTTTCAAAAACAATTTCTTTTATTAAAAGAATATACATCCATAGGCATGTGTGTTTGAATTGAGTCATTTTGCAGGGATAGCTTTCTAAATTCAGCTTAATACCATTTCACTGAAAATCTACACGGAGTATCATTCACATTGTCTCTAAGTAAGTGGCACGTCTTAGAAGATGAAATTAAGAATAGCACACTGGAGGATGGCACTCGTACAATCCTAGGTTGGTTTATGCAAGGCTTTCTTTCTTGTGAGGTTATGAATTTTCTTGTGTTGTCCACATTTCAAATGTTACAAAAGCAAATGAAAAAGACTTTCTAGTAATAAGGTGGGCTTTTCTCTTTCAAAGTGTTTTTTCTTTTTTTTTTTTAGAATTATTTATTTGAAAGATAAAATAAGATTGTTGAAGGACTGTACGATTGTTATAATGTGAAGGAAAAAATAGTGGGAGGGAGGGTAGGAGCCTAAGAAGCCATCATGAAAAGTAAAAATAAATTAAAAATTAAGGAACATTAAAAAGAATGGAGTCGTGGAGAGATCTTGCATCCATTGCTTCAGTCCCCAGATAGCTTCAACAGCCAGTGAAGGGTCTGGCCCAACTAAGAGCCCACTGGGTCTTCCCCATGGGTGCAGGGACCCAACCCAGCATGGATAAAGCATGGAGCTGGATTGGAAATGAAGTATCTTGGACTCAAACTGGTGTCCAGATGGAATGCTAGCATTGCAGGCAGTGGTTTTATCCTCTTGAAGCATTTCTGTGTACTCATGAACTCATACAGACATACCTCTCATCCAAATACGTAGAGAAATGCTTGGCCAGGTCAATATGTCAATGATCAGCCTTCGTTTTTGATGAGTGTGTATTTAACTTCGGTGTAAAAAAAAAATCACCTTTTTATTATATACATTTTCCATGAACTTTTTGAAACCCCACATGTGTTTACCTTAGTTGAGTCTATACTATTTTTTTCTTCTTACAGACTTATAAATATCTGGTTTTTTCCAAGTGATCGGTGCATTTTTTCTTTAACTTCTTATTTGAAGTTGCTTTGGGGTGTTGTTAGAAGATAAACTGCATCCAGTTTGGATTCTTGTGAAAATAAGGAAAAATGTATTTGGAAGGAAGAATTACATATTGCAGTATGAAATCTATTTAGTCTTCAAATTGGTGTTTCTGTTACCTGCCTCATGGTGTCCCAATTGGTTATTTTAAGTACCTTGATTTCCTTCATCTCCTTTCTTTCTGGTAATATGACTGGAACTAGAAGACTGATTGTTTTGACAAACCCTTGTTGGTTGGTCAGCAGCAGTTTGCTTCACAACCTCAAATCTAAAAATTTGTACCTGTTGCTGTGTGTGTAACTTGTTTTGTTGGCATCTCTCACTGATTGTTTTGTACCAGTTTGTGAATACTGGATAAAGCAACTTGAGTATCATTATTAAGTCAACCTTTAAATGTTAGTTGACCACATATTTTTATTTCTAGAATAGTAATTTTTTTTTTATCATTTTAATGCCTTATAGTAGCAGCATTAATTAGGGGTATCTCCATCTTTTTCTGTGGTTCTACCAACCAGGGTATTAGCTTTGTAATGATTGTTTTTTCCCTGATCTTGGCTCCTCAGTGGTAAGCTCCTGGCCCTTCCTTCTTCCTGTATCTTTGCAAGAAATAAAGCCAGGGGCTAGGATTAGTGGCTAGATCCTCATCCCACTAATATTGATTATGTTTGGAACTTCTTTAGTCTCCCCGTGCCCAACTTCCTCCCATTTGTGTTAATAACTGTCTTTAGTCTAATTAAGATACAGACTAAATCATGGAGCTTTTATTTGTAATAGATGGCAACTTCTTTTAATTTTGTGAGCTAATTTTAACTAGAGGATATTGGCTATAGTGTTAATTTCTCTGGATGCTATGAATACAATGTCCAGTGAATATGTATAATTTTATACAGTCTAATATTTAGTAGATCAGTTAGGATCATATACTTTCCTGTCCACTCATGGTCAGAGATAGAAATTGAAATAAGCAGAATAGTTTAAACCAGTAACATTTCTGTTTCATTTTTGGCCATTAATAGGAACCGTAATAAAATATCCAACCCTTAAACCACTTATTTGTATTTCTTGTGTCGTATCTGCTCATGAGTGGCCTGGATTTAAAAAAAAAAAAAAGTGTGCAGAAATTTCCTTGCCCCAACAGCTGTGTTTCCCACGAGTTATATTGTGAAAACTTTTCTATTGTGTTCTCAGCCAGTTATATATTGAGATCTCTAAAATATAGTAAATAATGCAGCAACAACATTGGAGGAAAAGAGTTTGGAATTAGGTGAGGGGAAGAGAAAGAAAAATCAGAGAAAATAGGACTGAATTATCCTTTGTAACAATAAAATGACCAGTCAACTACAAAAGACATAAGACAATTCTGTTACCTCCTAATATGAAGATATTTCCATTTGGGCTGATATGTTAAGTTTCTTAAAATTTGTGTTGAGAGATTTACAAAGATTGTAATAGGTTGGAAAAATACTTCCTTGTGTAGTAGATACTCGTACAGGACTCATAGAAGAGCTTCATAATCATAGCCTTGAAATAAAATTTTATTATTGGTCTTTCTCTTTAAACCTTGTAAGATATTTTATTTATAGTCTATGTATGAAGATGAATCACAGCCTCCAATGTCATGGGCCAGTGAAGGGACTACTTATAATTTGATCTGAGTTTCTTACTTCTTTAAGTGTTTTTGAAGTTGGTTATATGTCATGTTTTTCCTTTATTTTTAAGCACAGCAGTGCCATAAAGCTTCTTAAAAAGCATAGTTTGGGTAAGATAATCTGCCTTCCATGACTTGTTTATCTTATGCATATTCTTCTTTTGGAGTTTTTTGGGGTTTATATTGTTATACTAATGTTGACTGTTAATTTCTTCCCTACAGCGTGGATTTGTGGTATCATTTCTATCACTGTCATTAGCCTGCTTTCCTTGCTAGGCGTGATTTTGGTTCCCATCATTAACCAAGGATGCTTCAAATTCCTTCTCACATTCCTTGTTGCACTAGCTGTAGGAACCATGAGTGGAGATGCCCTTCTTCATCTGCTACCACACGTAAGTTAAGGCAGCTGGTACCTTAGGAACGATCTAACCTCCCAGAAGTCTTTAGAAGTTTTCCTAGGTAACAGATTTAGAAGCTTTTCTATGAATAAATACTATATAAAATAAAAGTTAAATCGATTTTTCTGTCCAAAGTTTCCTAAGATTAATATTGTGTTTTTGTACATGTTACAGTATAAAATGAAATTTAGTATTACATACACTTGTTTTTACTCACAATATATAGAAAATTACATACAGAGATATAGACTTTTGATAATAGTTAACAGTATATGCTGAAGTTAACAGTCTCAATTCTTTGAAAAAAAACCTGCTGTAAGAGAAGATCTTATAAAGAAAGATACAATGAGTTAAAGAAGTTAGTACTTATTATATTACAAGGAATCACAGTGGTAACCTGCTGGCCAGTTAAGTTTTTGCTAAGATTTAGCATTCTAAAAAAAGAGTTATTTACAAAGAGAAGGGGAGATCTTCTATCCTCTGTTTCACTCACAGTGGCGACATGGTTGGGACTGGGCCAGACTGAAGCCAGGGGCCTGGAGTTTTATTTAGATGAAGGTAGAAGCTTAAACCCTTATGCTATTATAATGCTGGTCCTGGTCCCAGAAACGTGGCATGTTAAATGGATTGTGTTTACTTCAATTCATAAAGGACCATTTACTTTTATTGTTACTTCTAGCTCGATTCTTTACATTCTGTATGAATCTTATCCTCACAGGCGTTAGAGTTGTATGAAATATTTTCTGAGAAATGTCCCACTTTCTGGACAACTAAGTAAATCACATTAAGTGGAAAGCCAGGGTTTTTTTTTTTTAATTTTGTTGTTGTTCGTATTGTTTATAATATGGAGGCAATGTGGGCCTCTGATTTGGGTGGTGAGGGCAAGGTATGGAGGAAGGTGGGTGGGACAGATGTTTACTTCTTTTTTTTTTTTTTTCTCCTGTTAGAAGAGAGATCTTTTCTAAGTGAGATAATATTTCTTGGAACTCCTGAAAAATTAAAAAGCAAATTTTTCTATCTTCTAGGAGATTTTTAATCTGAAAATTTAAAGTAGCTTTTTCAGTAATTTGTTTAGAAGTTTCTTTTATTTGTACTCACAGTCTCAGGGTGGACATGATCACAGTCATGAGCATGCACATGGACATGGACATTCTCATGGACATGAATCCAAGAAGTTTTTGGAAGAATATGATGCTGTGTTGAAAGGACTTGTCGCTCTAGGGGGCATTTACTTGCTCTTTATCATTGAACACTGTATCAGAATGTTCAAGCACTACAAACAACAAAGAGTAAGTGTGGTTTCGTTTATTTAAGTTTTGAAATATAAAATACAGAACAAATATTATCTTTTGGCCATTTGTGTTTCTTAATTGTGATGTTGGCCTGTATTAAATCTATGGGAAGAAGCCGGGGACTTTTAGGAAAGATGGAAATGATGATTCTTTTTAGGAATATTGCATATCACTTGGGAGATGCTGCTCGGACTGCTGATTAAATCCCCTGATTGTCAAACACGTGTCTGTGGATAACACACTGAGGAGAGGACAGTTATCCAAAAAAAAAAAATATTGATTCCCAAGAAAGTTCAAACCTTCTGCCGTTCACTGTGGTTAGCTTACACCCCTCCCTGTTCCAGTTGTTTGACATCTGCCTGTCCTACGTGTATACACCCAACCTGTTTGTAACACTGACATTAGTTCTCAGTAGCAGAGCACGTCCCAAAGTTTCTGAAAAGCAAAATTAAAATGTAAGCTTGCTTTGGTGTAAAATATATTTTAAATCTGTGCAAAAGGATTCGATTCAAAAAGCATATGGAAAATTTGTATTATAAAAAAAACGGTTTCAAAATGGCAGAATTGGAAAAGAAGAGATGATGAAGAAAATTATTTAGATGAGAGAATAATAAGAGGACTTTGTGTCTCATTTTGAACCTGAACTTACTGATGAAGTGAAGGACATTGATTTTGCAAAATAAACTGAAACTAGAAAATGGAGCCCCCAAACATGGCAGTTTTTTTGTTTTTTGTTTTTTTGTAAATAGTAATGTAAGAAGAAAAAATTGGGGGGGGGCATTCTAAATTTGGTAGTAGGGAATTCTTTAACTATATCAAAGAAAGAGATCTGGCTAGATAGACCAGTGTATTTCCCTTATGGAAATCAGGAGAATAAGAGGGAAGGCATATGGAGTTTTTTTTTAAGACAGAATTAGTGGCGGCCCAGTGCGATGGCCTAGTGGCTAAAGTCCTCGGCTTGAACATGCCGGGATCTCATATGGGAACCGGTTTTAATCCCGGCAACTCCACTTCCCATCCAACTCCCTGCTTGTGGCCTGGGAAAGCAGTCGAGGACAGCCCAAAGCCTTGGGACCCTGCACCCGTGTGGGAGTCCTGGAAGACATTCCTGGCTCCTGGCTTGGGGTTGGCACAGCACCGGCTGTTGTGGTCACTTGGGGAGTGAATCAGTGGACAGAGAATCTTCCTCTCTGTCTCTCCTCCTCTCTGTATATCTGCCGTTCCAATAAAAATAGATAAATCTTTTTAAAAAAGTACAGAATTAGTAATACTTGAGCAGATATTTGACAGCCTACACAACAGATGAATCTCCTAACGTACTGGAGGGAAGCCTTCAGACCTTAAGTTAAATAATACCCGCAGGTGCCCGCTTGTTTGAGCAAGTTGAGTGCTGAGAGGGTCATGAGTTAGCAAGTGTCTCAGAAAATGGACAGAACCAGAGAAACTAAAGAAAGCCTCAGCTGGTGTTTGCATTTTTAGCTCCTGTTTCCTTCTCGTTGACTTATCTGTTCTTTGTACGCTCTGCTTCTGTTTCTTCCTTCTTTTAAATTCCTGATGCTGTTTCTTTTCTTCTCTTTAGGGTGTCTCCATTTTATTGTTTCATTTAAAATATCCCATATCTCCCCAATTTCTGTGAACTGTTATGAGAAACATAACCTAAAACTTAATGATGTACAAAAATTTATTTGTTTTAAGATTTACTTATTTGAAAGGTCAAATTAAGAGAGACAGAGGCAGGGATTGGAGATAAACTTCCATCTGTTGTCTCACTTCCCAAATGGCTACAGTGGGCAGAACTGGGCCATGCCAAAACCAGGAACCAGGAGTTTCAGCTGTGTCTCCCACCTGGCATCAGGGGCCCAAGAATTTGGGCAGCCTTCCATTGCTTTTCCAGGTGCATAAGCAGGGAGCTGTATTGAAAGTGGAGCCACCAGGACTGGAACTGGTGCCCAAATGGGATGCTGGTGGTATGGGCATACACTTCACAACACTGCCCCTCCGTAGTTTAGTATTGCTAACAGTTCTGTGTGTCAGTCATTTGGCCAGCTTTTCTGCTGTGTCTGGCACTCCTTAGAGCCCTTTATTCCACTGTATTTACCCGGCCACTGGGCTAGGCTCAGCTGTGTTGAGCAGGGCCGGAAGGCCCAGGAGTGCTATGCTCCACTTGTGCATCGCGGCACTGGTCCAGAACCAGAGTCGAGCTCTTCACAGGGTGCTGGCTGGCCTCCCCGCTAAGGACAAAAGCTGCCAGAATAAAAATAAACCAAAGGACCAGTTCAGTTCTAGGGTATAGAACAGACTCTACCTGTTACAGTTCATCCACTCTTCCAGGGCGGAAGGAAATGGCTGGTGGCTGTCTGAAGAATGTCCCCATCATAGCTACTCAAGAAAATGTCACCCCAATGAGTGATTTTCTTAGTTTAACAAATCAGAAGCAAAGTTTAAGTCAGATCATTGTTGTTGTTGTTTTATTTTTATTGAAAGGCAGATTTTACAGAGAGAAGGAGATACAGAGAGAAATTCTGTCTACTGGTTCACTGCCCGGGTGGCTGCAACAGCTAGGGCTGAGCCAATTCAAAACCAGGAGCCTGGAGCTTCCTTGGACTCTCCCCTGCGGGTGCAGGGTCCCAAGGCTTTGGGCTGTCCTTGACTGCTTTCCCAGGCCACAAGCAGGGAGCTGGATGGGAAGCGGGGTGCCAGGATTAGAACTGGCTCCCATATGGTATCCCAGCACGTGCAAAACAAGGACTTTAGGGACCAGGCTACCATGCCGGACCCTAGAATATTCTTAATGGTCAAATTTTACAGATTTGCCCAAGTCTTGAAAGTAAGTAAAATTTAAGATTCAAGTATGATGGTTACTGTTATGTTATACTCAGGGATATAGAGATTATGTTAAATGTGGAATGAAATTCAAAGAAATAAACTTTACTCTTTTAAAAAAACTGTGTTTCATTAAATGAGATATTACATATATTTCACTGTTTTCATTTGGGTTGCATATTAGTACAGTGTTTCTTAAGATAATAAGAAAGAAAAAGTAGTAGAATTGAACCTCTTAAGTATTTAAAAGCAATTTTAATTGGATTTTTCATCTGATCCCCTGATCATATATATAACTGTACATAAATTTAGCAGCAATTGAATTCTATGGATATTAACATAAATCAATCTTGGCACCAGCATGGTGGTATTAAGCTCTCTTGCAGCATCTGTATCCCCTATGGGCACTGGTTCAAGTGTTGGCTGTTCCACTTCCGATCCAGCTTCCTGCTACTAACCTTGGAGAAGCAGCGTGCACTTGCTCCCCACCTAGGAGACTGGATGAAGTTCTAGGCATCTAGCTCCAGTTTGGTCCAACTCTGGCTGTCGCAGCCATCTGAGGAGTGAAGCAAGAGACGGAAGATGGTTCTCTCCCCCTCTCTGTTTCCCTGTACCCCTCCCAAAACTCCGCTTTTCAAGTAAATAAAATTAACCTTTAAAAAAAGAAAGATCAATCCTGGCTTTTAATAAACTACTGCCAGTTGTTGCTGCAGAGTATAATAATATCAAATGTTTCTTCCCCAGGGAAAACAGAAGTGGTTTATGAAGCAGAACGCGGAAGAGTCGAGCATTGGAAGGAAGCTTTCAGACCATAAGTTAAACAACACCCCGGATGCCGACTGGCTGCAGCTCAAGCCCCTCGCTGGTAGACAACAGTTCTAGCTAAAGAGAAACTTTAAAACATAAACATTGAAATGTTGCTCCTAAGCTCTATCCGTATGGTTTGAAATGTCTTCTTTGTGGCTTCCCTAATACTATTTTTTAATATGTTTTTTTCTTAAATGTGAGTGGATCTTAATTCTTATCTTTTAAAATGTATTCACCTTAGCCTTATTTGTGCTGGAATATATGGCCAAATATTTTCAGAGGGAAGGAACATTTTTGCATTTCATGGTTACAGAAAAACATGAATGAAACCAAAGCTTTCTGATGCTACAATTAATTAATGTTTTATTTCTTGACAGTGCAAAAATCTCTTCTTGGAAAAATGTCCTCCGAAAGTGGAAATAGTAGAAGGGAGAATTGCCTGTAGTATTTGGAGGAGAATTTGTATTAAAAATCTCTGCTTATTTCTCCACTTATTCTGTTGCCTGTCACATGTAATAAGGTAGCTTGCAACTTTCAGAGAGTCAAAAAATCACTTTCCAGCAAAATTTTCCCCGCTTTCTCTGTGAACTTAACATACCCCTGAATGAACCAGTAATTTTCTGCAGCAAATGGGCAGTGCGAGTTCTAATTGAAGCACTCTGCCTTGGGATACAGCGGTAGATTATTTGAGAGATGCTCGCACATCTGAGGCCCATGCTAGCAGGATTTCCAAGCAGCTTTGTCAGAATGGTGGAGCACTGAAGAATGTAAAAGCTTGGCATAAAAGAACTGTATGACTTGGCCATTACTTATATTTTATTTATGTATTTTTTCCTTAAATAAGAGAAGTGTAATGTAGGTAAATGAATTTAGGGTTGCATTTTGTCATTCTGCAAAAGCCACAGTAGTATTCTAGCCTTTGATGTTCATAAACTGTTCCTACCATGTTCCTTAAGTCTCACAATGTTTATTTCCAAGTAGTTCCTCACTTGACCCGCCGTTGATTTCAGTTTTTTCTCGCTTGCCTTTCCTGTGGCCCCTTCAAGGCCCTCCAGGCTTCGGTGTGTTTTGTCTGTGCTTTCATGTATTTGCTTTTATGTATTTATTTTTAATATTGTAATAGACTCCAGAAAATACTGTTCCGTTGGGATGGCTTCCTAAATAATTTTAGAGATGTGTTCATTTTATACTCACATAAGAATGTACTTTATTCTGCTTCTGTGTTTGGGGGTAAATTAGCAAATATGTATATATTTATTTAATAGTAAGACATGTCCTTTGCTGTATAAATGTAGGAACTGATGATTCGGTTGTTTCCGAAGACCGGCTGAATGAAACTGAACTGACCGATTTAGAAGGCCAGCAAGAATCCCCTCCTAAAAATTACCTCTGTGTAGAAGAGGAGAAAATCATGGCTCATTCCCACAGCGACGGCTTACACACCATCCACGAGCACGGGCTCCACGCTGCTGCACACAACCACCATGATGAGAACAAAACTGTGCTGAGGAAGTACAACCATCAGTGGCACCACAAACACTCCCATCACTCCCATGGGCCCTGCCATTCCGGATCAGATCTGAAAGAAACCGGAATAGCTAACATAGCTTGGATGGTCATCATGGGGGATGGCATCCACAACTTCAGTGATGGGCTGGCAATTGGTAAGTGGACTGGAAGCCGAGGTTGGGATTTCTTGTTCTTAAGACTTTTAGCTCTTTCACTATACCTATATTAATCTTATGAACTACAGTATGAAAGAATGAAATTTATTATCACAAAGGTGCCAGTTGGCCCGGTCATTTGATTTTTTATATATGCAATGGTTTTGTTTAATAGGTATATGTTGTTATTTTGCCATATTGCAAAAGATAAGTTAATATATATTTTATTTATATTTACATATCCCTGAAAGAGAATGGTTTAATTTCAATCTGTTTAATATAGATTTATTTATTTTTATTGGAAGGGCAGGTTTTCAGACAGAGAGAGAGAGAGAGAGAGAGAAAAGATCTATCATCCACTGGTTCACTCCCCAAGTGCCTGCAATGGCTGAGCCTGTCCGAAGCCAGGAGTCAGGAGCCTCTTCCAGGTCTCCCCGACGGGTGCAGGGTCCCAAGGCTTTGGGCCATCATTTAATGCTTTCCTAGATCACAAGCAGGGAACTAGAAGGGAAGTGGAGCAGCTGGGATTAGAACCAGCGCCCCAGATGGGATGATGGCACATACAAGGTGAGGATTTCGCCTGTGAGCCATCATGCCAGGCCCAATTTCAATCTTGAGTAAATTATATTTTTACTTGTTTGGAAGGGTGAATAAATTTTGCAACACCAAAAGTCTATTGCACTGGCGTCAGCATTCGACCTAGGGTTAAGATGCCAGCTGGGAAGGCCATTTCCCGTATCACACGGCTGGACTCCAGCTCCTGACTCCAGCTTGTAGTTATGTAGACCCCGAGCACAGGGATGACGTCGTAACTAGCGTGACTCCTGCCGCTCCGTGGGGGCCCTGGAGCTGCTGACTCCTGACTCGCGCTTCCTCATCCCGGCACCTCGGAGTGCGTCAGTGAATGGGTGCAGCTACCTCTCGGGTGAAGAACCGGAAAAAAAATTTTTTTTTAAAGATTTATTTATTACAAAGTCACATATACAGAGAGGAGGAGAGACAGAGAGGAAGATCTTCCGTCTGATGGTTCACTCCCAAAATGACCACAACTGCTGGTGCTGTGCCGATCCAATGCCAGGAACCAGGAACCTCTTCTGGGTCTCCCAGAATGGGTGCAGGGTCTCAAAGCTATTGGCCGTCCTTGACTGCTTTCCCAGGTCACAAGCAGGGAGCAGGGAGCTGGATGGGAAGTGGAGCTGCTGGGATTAGAACCAGCATCCATATGGGATCCTGGCGTGTTCAAGGTGAGGGTTTTAGCCACTAGGCCACACCACTGGGCCCTGGAAAAACATTCTTTAAAGAAGGAAGACTCATGCTTTGAGACATGTGTTTGAAAAATGTGTTTTCCAAATTAAAATACATTAGGGTCTTGGTAATGTAAGGTAATGATACCTTTGTGGAAGAACATTGAATGTGGTCAGTGCCTGAATTCCTTTGAAATGGACTCTTCAACCTGAAGAAGGGTTTGGTTCCTTTTAGAAACCAAGGACCATAGTTTTGAATTCACAATATCCATTAATGCCAAAGAATTAGTTAATAGCTTCATGTATGTACACATCTGATCACAGTTGTCAAGACTAAAAAGACAGACACTTCTTTGTGCCATTTGTACTCTTGACCAAGGAAAATTTGGATAAGGTTTGCAGCCATTTAAATATCTGTAAGTGCTTCTGAAAGAGCGGGTAGAATTAGACTTACGAAACTTTAAATTGAGCATCAAACTGCAACTCAAGAGATTTAAGTACTGTTGATACAAACTGTTACCATCCCTACAGAAGCTATCTTTGAGAAGGTTACAGTAATGCAAAGTTTAATTCAATAGGAAATGTTGCTTTAATTGATTTCATTGATGTGGCTGTCACACATCTCTTTTACCACACTGTATGGTAAACTGTAGTGTTTAAGGTAAGTGAGCCAGTCATAGATTACGAAGACTGGCAAGAAGTGTCTGCATCTGTCATCATTAGTAAAAATGGAAAGCAAACGTTTGGACAGTGTCCCTTTTTGTCTTCCTCAGGAGCAGCTTTCAGTGCCGGGTTAACAGGCGGGATCAGCACCTCCATAGCCGTCTTCTGTCATGAGCTGCCACATGAATTAGGTAATACAGCCTGACATTTTATCAGAGCTCAGCAAATCTAAGACTTCTTCCATTGTAAATGCAGCCAGATTCCACAAATGGTAAAACAGAAAGAATGACTTTTGGCAAGTATTAAGAGTCTTTAGTAGTTTGACTTATCCTGATATTAAAATATAAAGAAAATAAAACTGTGCCTCTTCACTTCGATGGTAATTTCTGTATGCTTTTCCTTACACTCAGTGATATAGTTGTGATAAAGGGTCTTTGATGATGGACAGTACATTGGCTGTAATGCTTAGCTAACTTTTAAATAGGAATGTCATTTCTTAACTTAAAAACCAGATTTTGCTGTTAACTGATTTTGACTTTATTTCACATACCATATAACTTAAATTGTTTAAAGAATCTGGATAAGTTTTGCAGGCTGCACAGTTGAGTGATATCCTAGATGTACCTAAAGCAGTATTTTACTTGATGGAAAGATGACATCGCTGTCCGGTGCGGAGCCCTGGGTGGTTGTTCAGGAGACCAGGAGGAGGCATTTGGCCCAGCAGTGAATGCAGCAGTTGGGTTGCTCACAGCTGCTCCCGGAATGCCTGGCTTCCGTTCCTGGCTCCACTGCTGCTTCCAGTTCCTTGTCAGTGTGTACCCCGGGGAGCAGTGCTGCTGGCCGCAGGGGCTGGGGCCCTGCCACCCATGTGGCACACCAGGGCTGCTTCCCTGACTTCTAGTCCCAGCCTGCCCCGGTGTCAGCCACTGTGGGGCGAACTGGAGGGTGGGAGCCTCATCCCTTCTCTTACTCATCAGATATATAAACTAGATAAATAATTTTAAAAGAAATTGGGATTGACTATGTTGCTAACCAGCATTGAAGTTTTGGAATAAGCTGTTAGTTTCTTTTTATATTATATGTAATGGTAATTTTACCTATTTTCATCTACCTGAAAGGCAGAGAGAGAGAGAGAGAGAGAGAGATCTCTGCTGCCAAGGCTGGGCTAAGCTGAAGCCTTCCCACACATGGAATCTAAACACTTGAGTCATCGCCTGCTGCCCTCTAGGATGCATTTTTTAAACAATTTGTTTACTTTACTTGGGAAGGTAGATTTACAGAAGGAAGGAAAGACAGAGCTAACATCCATGGGCTCATAATCCAAAGCCAGGAGCTTCCTCCCGGTCTCCCAGGTGGGTGCGGGGGCCCAAGGCACGGAGCAATCCTCTGCTGCTTTCCCAGGCCATAAACAGGGACTGGATTGGAAGTGGAGTAACCAGGATGCAAGCCAGCAGCCACATGGAATGCCAGCACTGCCAGCAGAAGCTTTACCACCATGCAGTGGTCCCGGGCCCCAGAATGATTTGCAAGAAACTGGGTTAGGAGTGGCCAGGACTTGAATTAGCACTGTTATGGAATGCAGGCATCAAAACACGTGACTTAACTCATTGTGTCACAAAACTTCCCCCAAACATAAACTTCCAATCTATAAAGTGAGAGGAGTGACTGATTTGTTTCATGTGATAGCACTTCTGAAAATTCATGGAAAATGTAATTTTTAAAGATACATTCATTGCAAAATATTTTAAATCTATGCATGATTTTTTCATAATATACACATTTCCATCAACTTTTTGAAACCCCTATATCGGGCCCTCCGTGGTAACCTGGTGGCTAAAGTCCTAGCCTTTCACGCTCCGGGATCCCATATGTGCACCGGTTCTAATCCCAGTAGACCTGCTTCCCATCCAGCTCCCTGCTTGTGGCCTGGGAAAGCAGTCGAGGATGGCCCAAAGCCTTGTGACCCTGTACCTGCATGGGATACCCAGAAGATGCTCTAGGCTCCAGGCTTTGAATTGGCTCAGCTCCAGCCATTATGGTCACTTGGGGAGTGCATATATATATAAAAATAGTATTTCATATTTTAGTCGTCCATTTTCTAGAAAGGCTGGCTCAGTCCTAGAGTAGGACAAGAATGCACACTCACAGTGTGCTAGGCAGACTTCCAGCCCCGCTTTTTGCCCATCCTCCCAGTGCGCACTCTATGCGGAGTGTGTCTGGGCTCTTTGTGATTTTATTAAATTGCTCTTTGAAACTTGAAAGCAAGATGCCTTTGGAGTTATGGATAATTGCTTTCTTATCACTTAGACCCTGTGTTGACTCTCATTTAAGGTGTAACACACAAGGAATGACAACTACATGTACAACGATTGTACTATAAATATTAGTGACTAGGTGAGCCTTTGCTAGTCAGTGAAGAGCTCTGGTAAAAAGCTGGATTGGAGAACTCTGATGGGCCAGCGTCCCAAGGGGGAGGCAGTCATTCCAACCCCAATTATCTGTTTCTTGATCAGAAGTTGAGATGTTGCTGTTACATGAGAGGAAACATGAGTCTAGACTATTCCAGTGTTGGCCAGAGGAATGGAGGGTAGCTCATGAATGAATGTGCTTTTTCCCCCAGTAGCTAGTGCTAAGTTAACTTTGATCTGGATAGGCTATTACAGAAGAAAGTATCTTTAAAAATGACCCAGCTGCCTCTCTTTGAGGTGACAGAAAAGGCTTTGGTGCTTGTGTTCATCAAAAAGGTAGCAAGTGGTCAGTTGGCTGCAAATCAGAAGGTAAAACACATGTCTGTGGACTCCGATGTTGACCTTTAATACACAGTAAAGGGCACTTTGGTAAATTAGAGCTGGGCGAGTGTGCCTGTGCCTAATCATGTGCTTGTACTCAGTTAACAGGAGTTACAGAGCCTCCCAGAACTCCCAGGCTCAGGGCACAGCAGTGCTCGTGGGCTCAGACAGCAGCATTGGCATGTGGACAAGAGGTCCTCTTCACCCAGTGGCTAAGATAATGATAAAGCAGCTTACTCTGTCTTGGGAGAATATATTTGATGGAAAATCCACTTTTCCTTAGTTAACATTTTTAATTATGAATTCTTAAAACTATTGGCAATTTCAGTATTAATACCAGATTTTCCCCAAGGGGAAAAGGGATTTAAATGACGTTGCAGTGCAGTCCTACTCGTAGTTAGTCAGCAATTCTGATGTTCTTTGAGCATATTAGTGTGTTTCCAGTGATAGACCAAGTGTACTTTTGTTGGGGAACTGTATGGAAAAACCCTATCCTTAAAACCTGGACAGTCCCGGGAGGTTTAAGTGATATGGGTAAATCAAGACCATCCAAAGAAGGAACAAACAATCCATTGTTTCTTGTCTTTGGGTGTGCTACTGCGTCTTTTCTGTTTGTTTCCAAATTGTAGAGCTGAATTTCAGTAATTTACAATGTTATTTTGTTTTATTCTCTCCACCTCTTTCTTCCCTGATTTAAAAAGAATTGTGTTGAAAATAATTTCTAAGAATATCAAGAATACAACATGAAGGGAGTACAAATGGGGTATTCTAGAAGGGCAGTTAGTCTAGATACCACTTGTTGACATACAGTTGTGTTTTGACTACAAAGAAGTAAGTTTAATAAATGTTATAAATAGGTAGCATATTATTCAGACTCAGCCCAGGCCGGTGTTTGGCGCAGCAGTCAGGATGCCTGCCCCCCTTATCAAAGTGTCTGGGTTTTTAGAAAGTACTGTTCACAACAAATATGAACTGTTCAGCTTGAATCTAATGAAATTTGCATTGAATCTGTATGGGGGAACTTCACTCACCAACATCAGCTTCCTAAAGAGGCTAAAATGAAGACTCCAGCACAGGGAGCAGGGACCCAGTGGGTTAAAATATTAAGACCCTTCCTCTAGATTCAGTGTATTCCCAGTCTAAAATCTAGCAAGCTTTTTGGCAGAGATTGAAAATGTTTATATGGAAAGGGAGAAGAACTTGAATTATCTAGAAGAGTTTTAGAAAGGGATGGATGGATGGATGGATGGATGGATGGATGGATGGATGGATACATACACACACACATACATTTATGTACTGGTTCACTCCCCACATGGCCGCAACAGCTGGGGCTGGGTTAGGCCAAGCTGGGAACCTGCAGCTCCATCTGTGTGTCTCACGTGGGTAGCAGAGGCCCAGGTACTTGGGTCATCATCTGCTGCTTTCCCAGGTGCATCAGCAGGGAACTGGATCAGAAGTGGAACAGCCAGAGCTTGCAATGGTGTTCATGTGTTATGCATCACAGGTGGCAGCTTAATGTGCTGCACCACAGCACTGGCCTCAAAGCTGCTGCTTTTCAGAATTTTATGTTCTACCACAACTTTATAAGAAGTGGAGATTTTTTCTTTTAATCCCTATTATTCTAACTTTGGAAAAGTCCCCTCCTCCTCCCTCTGTTTTATCCACTGAGGCATTTGGCTTATAAATATGTATCATACTCCTAGGAAAAGCATCCCAGGACTTTCCCCTGCTCAGTGATCATGGATGGTTCCAGAATCACCAGTGCAGCTAGGTTCTGTCCTCCCAGTGGCCACAGGAGCATGGCCACAAAGGAATTGCCAGTTGGTCCCTTCTCGGTGTCATCGACGCTGCTGGGAGCAGAGCATTTGTGGGCACAAGGAGACAGTGGAGAGAGCTTTCACTTTCCTGATGTTTTGGGGATTTGCAGGATTCTGCTTTAGTTTCTTTTGGGGGAAAAACAAATGTAAATATAGTATAGAAGAGATTAAAAGGACCTGTCACCCCTCTTCCTAATTTTAATGGACTATATTTATTCAAAAGATGGAATAGAGAACTTGTGTCACCTGGCATACTCCTCAGTTGGCCACAACGTCTCGGGCTGGGCAAAGCCACTCTACTCCGATCTCCCATGTTGCTAGCTGGGCCAGCACTTGGGCGAGCCTCTGCCGCCTGCCCGGATGCATTAACCGGGCGCTGCACCGCCAGTGAGAGTCAGAACTTGAACTAATGGTTCCAGCATGGTGGCATTGCTGCTGCTCCACAACACCAGGCCCGCCTCTTTTCTTCTTTAGGCTGTTTTCCTTCAAAGAAAGCATAGAAACCAGGGAAAAAAATGACTATTCGTGTGTGTGCTAGTCTTTAAGTCATGCAATAAAAAACATTTTTCTGGTGTGCACAGTTGTGTGATGTGTGTGATCCCTGTGATTAACCCTTCCCCCGCCTTGTGATTCAGAAGTTGTGTCATTTCACAACTCCTGCCCATGAGAAGGCCCTCCATGACCTTTCACAAGGTCTGTCCAACATCATGCCTTTAAGATCTATCACGGTTTTTGCATTCATTAAAATTTAATTCAGTAAGCAAAACATTTTATATAATGAATTATTGCTGTATCTATATCTATCTATATATATATATATATTTGCTTTTGTTTTTTTCATTGAAATCCTGTGATTTAAAAGCTGCCCCACTTTGTTCTAATTGCAGGTGACTTTGCAGTTCTTCTTAAAGCAGGCATGACTGTAAAGCAAGCAATTGTGTACAACCTGCTCTCAGCAATGATGGCGTACATTGGCATGCTCATAGGCACAGCTGTTGGCCAGTACGCCAACAACATCACACTTTGGATCTTTGCCATCACTGCAGGCATGTTCCTGTATGTCGCCCTGGTGGATATGGTAAGATGTTTTATTTCATGTGGTCCTACCAAACCTGCAGATAGAATGCAGCTTTCAAAAAGTACATTAGTACATAAGGTGTGGGAATTTGATCTTTGCCAAGAGTGTCAGGTGGCAATAACGAGTTGTTTTAGATGTTGACCTTAAGTAAAATATCAGGACTGATATGGTCAATAGGTGGCAACTGAAAAACAACTAATGATTATGTTTTGAGAGTTCACATGTGGGCTGTGTGAAGGAGGAATAAGGAAGGAACACAGCCAAAGTGTAGCATCTTTTTTTTTTTTTCAGTATTTGACTAAACATGTCTTGTGGATACTGCCTTCAATAAAATTATCTGTTTCTATTTACACTTCGGTCATTAGCTTTCTTAAGTAAAATGTTTTTAAAAATATTTTGAGATCCTGGCACAGTAGCCTAGTGGTTAAAGTCCTTCCCTTGCAAGCACCAAGATCTCATATGGGCATTGGTTCATGTCCTGGCTGCCCCACTTCCCATCCAGCTCCCTGCTTGTGGCCTGGGAAAGCAGTCGAGGATGGCCCAAAAGCCTTGTTACCCCTACCCACATGGGAGACCTGGAAGAAAGTCCTGGCTCCTGGCTTCAGAGCGGCTCAGCTCCGGCCATTGTGGGCACTTGGGGAGTGAGCCAGTGGGTGGAAGATCTTCCTCTCTGCCTCTCCTCCTCTCTGTCATATCTGACTTTACAATAAAAATAAAAAAAGAAAAGGCATTTTGAGCAGAAGTGTTAACCTGCTCTTGAGCTCCGCCTGTAGCTCATGGTCCCTCCCAGCACACACCTCTGTACCTGTGCTGGATGAGCAGGTGCTCCACCGCGCTGTGAAAGCACATCCCAAAGAGCAAAGCCTTTGTGGAGACATCGGCCAAGTGTTTACCGAGATGTACAGGCCAGCGTTGCTGCGGGAGAGATGCTGACCCGGGAAGGCAGTGCGACGCCGCCGGAGGAACACTTCGATATTTGTTCAGTGTTAGACTGTGAAGATGAGGAGACTGACAGAATACCTGAACAGGAGGTCCAGAGAGCGCGCAGATGCTGAAACACCTTGTGGTTTTTCTTTGCGTTCTCCTGATGCCTAGTGATTCTGAACAACTTTTCTTCTGTCTGTTGGCTGTTTGTATTCTTACCACAATGTCATGAAGCCGGAAAGAAACAACATAAGAAACCGTGGAAAATACGTGCAGGCGCCTGGAGGCTGAGCAGTACACCCCTGGAGGAACAGTGGGTAACACAAGAAATTAAAAGGGCAATAAAAAATTTCCTAAGGGTAAACGAAGGTGACATCACACAAATACAGGATATACACACACAGGGTACAGCAAAGCGACATTAAGAGGAAAGTTTTGGCAATCAGTGCATACATCAAGAAATTGGAAAAGCTTCAAATGATCTAACAGTGCGTCTCAAGGACCTAGAATAGAAAAGCAAAAATAAACGAAATCTCAAATTAGTAGCAGTAAATAAATAATTTAAATTAGAAGAAATAGACAAGACTGATATTAAAAAAATACAAAAACAAATCATTGAAATTGACATCTTGAAATATTATTGTTTTTAGCCCTTGTCAGTACGTTTGAAGAACCGTGGTCTTTCTGCTTACACACACACACACACACACGCAAAATGGTTTTATTGAGAAGTGTGCAGAATTGCTTCTAACAGTCTCTTTTCTGTTTCAGCTTCCAGAGATGTTGCATGGTGATGGTGACAACGAGGAACATGGCTTTTGTCCAGTGGGGCAGTTCATCCTGCAGAATCTGGGCCTGCTGTCTGGCTTTGCCATCATGCTGGTGATTGCCCTCTATGAAGACAAAATTGTGTTTGACATCCAGTTCTGACCATCCCCAGCCCTCCCTGCTGGTCACGGGAATGTCACCATGCAGCCTCGCATCTGTCCCTTGTACAGCAGGCACGTTGCGCAAAGGAGAGTCCGTGGCTTGCACTACTTACGCGTTCCCTAGACTGGAGCCTAATCCCAAGACCGGTGCTCAGGCCCATCTCCCCTGTGTAAGTGGGGTCTTTTCAACCTACAAAGCTGGTGATAAAGAGAGGAGAAAATGGGACTCCTTGAACCGATATTGACATAGGTTTAAGACTTTACAAGAAAATCATATACAACACTAAAGTAGCCTGTTACTAGAAACTTCTGTGGCTATGCAGAAATAGAAATTGAACCAAAAAAATCATTTAAACTTTAAAAATATTTTAAATGGACTTTGGGCAGCATTTTGTGTGTGGTAAGAATGGATAGTAGTGTCCTTTGATTCAACTGCATAAATTCATACGGTGATAGGGATCAGCTTGACACAACTTGGAAACTGCAGGAAGTAGGCTGTAGGAACTAGAGCAAAGCTCAGGCTGCATCGGAGTATGACGTTAGCATTGGAAAACCCCTTATTCTTGAATCTAGAGTTACTATTTTTGTATATATTTGCATAGTTTAAACTTGCAGCCTAAACTACTGAAATTTGTGATTGTATGTTTGTGTGAGCTTCAGTTTTAATGAAAGATTCATTAATGGTTCTTCATATTATTATAATACTTGGTGTTTGGGGGTATTCTGTTTTGTTTTTGCTTTAGTTTTGTTTTTTGTTTTGGGCTGTTGTGGGAAGGGAGTTCAGAGCATGTGGTCAAATGTTTATTCCTTAAAATTGTTTCCCTCTAGAAAATATAAAACCAATGAACCCAAACATAGCCAAAATACTCAGTTTTCAACTTTAATAGTACTCACTTGTGAATTAGGAAACTTAAGTACTGAACGTTCATATTACTTGACTAGTTCGCCGTTGGAACCAAGAGCGCATGCTGTGGTCGGTAGTGAAGTTGCAAGGTAGAAAATCCACGCTGACCACATCTCTACACCAAGTGTCAACTACAGCGGCTACCAGGATACCCTCTGTTGATCCTGGAGGCCAGCCTGGTGCCAGGTGACTTGAAAGGGGTATGAAAATAATTGAACTGAAATCACTTGACCATTTTGTGCCAAGACAAGCTGTTGGTGCCTGGTAGGTATCAGTCTCTTTTTTAGGTGCCCTGTTTTCCTACCTTAATTGTCACTGATTGGTAAGAAGTGCAAGCCATGTTTATCCTGCATTCTGGTTTAATAATTAGTAGTAGTAGGCGGCTGCACGTGGCTTTCTTTTTGTGCCTGTGCCTCCCAGTCTTCAGTTTTGCTGGGTAATCTGTAATTGAACTGTGAGCAGCTAGCTTCGTTTTAATCTGCTCGGCAAACAGTACAGCTGCTTTAAAACTCTTAAGTGTTCAGATATGTCAGAGCCAAACTCTCTCCATTCCATTTCCAACATTTCTATGTGGTCCTCCTCCTCTCCCCAACTCCATGAACGCCATGAACCTTTTCAAACACAACTTTGAGAGCAGCACATCCGTCCATGTATTAACAGGCTGTTGCCAGTGTTTATGCGGTAAGCAGGGGAACTTGGCTGTGTTGTTTAACTTTAACTTGGGCTTGGATTGGGAAAAAAAGAAAAAAAAAACAACTTTTTTTCTGGCCTCCTTTTAATAAGTAGAAGTTTTATATAAAGATTGTCTTCAGCACTGGTCATGGAGTCAGGACACTCCTCATCTCATTGCTTGGCCCTTCAAGCAACCTAGCTAAAGGTGCTGACATTTTATTTCATACTGCCAACTTCAAGTGATTCAACTTGCTTTCTGAACCAATATATATTTATAGTTCATTATTTGGTTTTTATACCCGAGGAGGATTCTGCATTCCAGCATTAAATCTGCTTCACTTAAAAACTTTTATGAAAAGCAACAGCTGGAATGTACTCCCAGTCTTAAAATAAATGCCTGATTTATAGCAAATGAGTTATGCTGAAGTATATAAAATTTTATATTCTCTCACAAGTGGTATTATCTTTATTTGCTAGATTTTTTTTTAACCTTTTAAGAGGGCTGTAAAAGTTGCTGCTAGTATTTTGTTGGGGTTCCACCAGTATTTAGCTGTCACAAGATTCTAATGTATAGTTTCAAGTCTTACTAGACAATCTGAATTCCACTACATTTCTGTTTGGCTCCAACATTCCATTTAGCTTGACCAGTCTAACTCGCGTTTGTTGGAGGTCATTTATGTTACTTGTACAATGCTGTCACTGTGTGACATCTGTATGAATTTTGGTGTATATCACATTGCATTCAGTCAGCTGTGATTATGCTTAGGAATACTGTAGTAGCTAGATGCAGTGTGAATTTTTTTCCATTAACAGTAAGTCAGTGGCTTAAATGTGATTATGGTCCTGCAAGGTGATACTTGCTAAAATATCTAAACTTTTTTGTTGTTGTAACTGAATCATTTTTTTAAAAAAAATTTATAAAGCTGGAAATGATCTATTGCTGTTTTCTTTTCTTTGTCAACAGTGGTGTGTCATTTTATGTATGTTCCTAATGCTTATGGAACTCTCCCAAAATAAAGTTATTCAAAAAGAGCAATTATACTGGCGTGTTTTTAATTTCAAAACATTTCCTTATACAGAACTATGAATTACTTTAAATACAGACTACATTTGCACATATGTAAATTTGTAATGAAATACAACATTAGTCAAATTTATTTCAACCAAAACAAGATCATTTTAATATCTAACAAGAAAGAGAAGCTAGGACATGACATCTGTGGGTTATGAATTCAGTTGACATAACAGTGCCACGCCTCGTCCGATCCAGTGCTCCTTGGGTTGGTCCGAGGGAAGAGTCATGGCAATCACGAAGTTGGTGGAATGGCCAGTGGTGGACAACACTCCTCTCCGCTCGCTTGTCTTGTACAGTGGAGCAAGGTAACTGGGTCGTTTGGGTATTTCTGCTCTCTTGCAGGGCTTCAGCCACATCTGGAAGAAATTGCACGATACCTCTTTAAAGCAAGGCTATTCTGCTTTACATCTGAGCCTGCAATGCTAGTCGCTGAGTAAGTTATTTATGGCCAGCATCTATATCCTAAATAGACTGACTTTGTCAACGGTAATGTGACTGCACAAGACTTTCTTTTTTAAGAACTTTCATATTTAACTTAAGAACTAGTATAGGAAGTGTGAAATTTCTTTTTTACCTACGCTATCAAAAAGCACATTACCAAATGTCACCTTAGACCTGGATGTGACTAGTAATCATGGAGAGACCTGCCCCAATTAGTACTCAGAGTCAAGTGCGGCAGTAATTGAAGGCCACCTCAAAACAGCTGGAGGGCTGTTCATCCATGGCAGTGCAACTGGATCATCTCCCTGCTTTAGGAGACTATCCGCAGTTGGATTTCCTATAAACTACGCTATTTAAAACACACTGCCATTTAATAACTGCAATCTGTTTGAATGCTTTTGAATTATTAGCCAAGTTTGCTGAATGTTAAGCATACAGTTTATTGTGAAACCACACCAGGTTCCAAAATAAGATGTCGTCGAGGCAGGCTGGTCTTTGAAAGATAAAAGAACAAATGATCATAACAACTTTGGAATTTAATTGATTTGTCTACCAGTGTTGACAATAGCAATTTTTTAAAGAATTATTTTTATTGCAAAGTAAGATATACAGAGAGAGGAGAGACAGAGGAAGATCTTCCATACGATGATTCATTCCCCACATGGCTGCAATGGTCACAGCTGAGCTGATCTGAAGCCAGGAGCCAGAAGCCTCTTCTGGGTCTCCCACATGGGTGCAGGGTCCCAAGGCCTTGGGCCATCTCGACTGCTTTCCCTGGGAATCCTGGCACATGCAAGGTGAGGACTTGAGCCATGAGACTACCATGCCAGGCCCGATAATAGCAACTCTTTAAGGTTCTATGACCAGAAAGGCCCACTTTTCTAGGTTTCTCAGCTGAAAAGTGGCTAAAGCTCTTGCCTTGCATGCCTGGGATTCGATATGGGCACTGGTTTGCATCTCAGATGCTCTGTTTCCCTTCTAGCTCCCTGCTTGTGGCCTGGGAAAGCAGTAGACGATGGCCCAAAGCCTTGGGACCCCACACCCATGTGGGAAACATGGAAGAAGCCCCTGGTTCTTGGCTTTGGATTGGCTCAGCTCTGGCTCTCATGGTTACTTGGGGAGTAAACCAATGGATGAAAGATCTTTTGGATTCTCCATATAAATCTGACTTTCCAATAAAAATTTTAAAAGAAAAATAAAATTGCTTGAAGGAGCTAATGAGGATGCAAGTTTCTCTCAGAGAACTTAGAGATCCAGATTACCATAAGGGGATCCATAACGTGGACATCCAGGGAATAGCTCCAATGGGAGATTCGGAACACCTCCAAACTTCCCAATTTACGCAGAATCTTTAACCCTTTGTCAATAAGTTTCATTTCACTGCAAGCTGCCTTACAGAATCTGAGAAGAAAAAAGCAAACCTCCATCCCAGTCAACTCTTGAAACTACAAGTGTTTATTTGCCATGGTGACTGTCAGTTTGGTTCTTACACTTCATTTTCTCTGCCCATAAAATCTTGGTGTATGGGCGGCTTCCTCCCAGCTGGCAGCCAGCTGTTCCCTCCCTGTTCCCTGCTGTGAGGACTCCGTCTTTGCATCCTCCCAGGATCCAAACAATTCACGCAGATCCTGTAGCCTGTATTTGCAATGTCCCATGCCAGACCTAGGTTTCCAATTGTGTGAAATGTAATCATTTTATCATCATGCAGTAGCAGATGGGACCTTAATTACGTTTACAGTCCCTGTTGAAGATCAGTGCTTAGAAAACTTCATTTTTTTTTGAAAACCTAGATTTTTATGAGAGTGCTTTTTCATATAATAACCTGAAAGTTTTACATTCTTTAAGAGTTTTTTTTTTTAAGATTTATTTATTTTTTATTACAAAGTCAGATATACAGAGAGGAGGAGAGACAGAGAGGAAGCTCTTCCATCCAATGGATCACTCCCCAAGCGACGGCAACAGCCAGGGCTGAGCCAATCTGAAGCCAGGAGCTAGGAGCTCCTCTGGGTATCCCACATGGGTGCAGGGTCCCAAGGCCCCAGGCCATCCCCAACTGCCTTCCCAGGCCACAAGCAGGGAGCTGGATGGGAAACAGGGCTGACAGGATTAGAACTGGTAACCATATGGGATCCCAGCATGTGCAAGGCAAGGACTTTAACCACTATACAATAGCGCCAGGCCCAAGTTTTACATTCTTTAGATAGAAGTATATATAAAACATGAGTGTTAAGAAAAAGTTGATGGAAAAATACATATTGCTAAAAAAAAAACCTGTGGATTTCAAAAGTTTTTGCCCAAAAATAAAATTGTTTGGGATGATTTTTAAATGCTGTGCCCTCGTGTGTGTATGTATATATACAGTCCATTGTCTACTCATGGGTTCCAGATTTGCAGATTTTCTCACAAGATTTACTTGCAATAAATTTAACTTACTGGTCTAATTTCTAAAATCAACACTGGCACCACTTTTGTGGTCACCAGGTGTCAAGTGCTGAATGAGAAATCCGGTTAGCTGCATTTGACACGCACATTCCCAGCTAATACTGAACAAGTGACACTGCTTCCTGGTTACCCATTTCAGCTGTGAACAAATGTTTATTCCATGTTCCACTGAGTGCCAAGGGTTCTGCCATTTTATGTCTGTATTGGTGATTTCACTGGTTGTGATTACTCCCAGGTACAATACCACAGTACTGTCTCGTGTTCTTACGTGCAAGAATGCCGTGAATTGCCTTGAGGAGGAAATAAGTGTGCACCTCCTCCCGGCATGACTGACCTGGCTCTTGGCTGCAGTGACTACAGCTAACGAGTCAGCAGCTTCTAGTAAGTAAGCAGTCTTTAAACAGAAACAAGATGATGTGCTGACAGGCTAACAAAAGCCGCGGTGCTAACAGACAGCCCTGTTTCCCCAGATGTGATTCTGTACTCACTAATTCAACAGTTACCGCGACTAGCTAGAATGGACTCTGTATATGTGTGGAAGCTATTTTATGTATATAATATCTATTTGATTCATATAAAGACAGCCTTTTCATGTATATACATGCATATATGTGTGTATATATATACATACTAACCACAGGCAATGTATCATAAAGAATTTTGGGATGTGATTCTGCAAGTTTCTTGATCTTTCTATTCCAGGAAGCTCCATCCAGAAATAATCCATGAATGAAAACACCTGAATGTAAAGGGAATAAGTTAGCACTGTACATACGCATCATAATTGAGTTCTGAACCTGAAATTACTACAAGTAGCCAAGGTTAGAAGTCTAAGGCTTGTTCTAAAATGAAAGAAATTCCCTGAGCGTTTTAACATCCGTTATTTCATGAATATGCTTAGTACAGTAATACAATATTAAAATCAGATATGGAAGAAGAAAACAAGAGGCAGGGAAGGGGGCTGGCGCTGTGGCACAGGGAATTAAGCTGCAGCCTGAATGTTGGCATCCCATATGGGCACTGGTTTGAGTCCCGGGTGTTCCACTTGTGATCCAGCTCCCTGTTAATGTGCTTGGGAAGTGGCAAAGGATGGCCTAAGTCCCTGGCCCCTGCCACCTACATCGGAGAACTGGAAAGATTTCCTGGCTTCTGGGTTCTGCCTGGCCCAGCCCCATCATTGCTACCATGCGGGGTGTGAATCAGCAGATGGGAGATCTCTGTCACTCCTTTGGAATTCCGTCTTCAAATAAATAAATCACTCGCAGACAAAGGAATTTTAACTACTCTGTGAGAAATCTTCTGCATTGACTACTACCAGCTTGATACTAGTTGCTCAGTGATCATAAAGTGTTATCAGAAGCTATAACATCTACAGGAAAAGTATAATTTATGTGCTTGTAAGATCTAATGCTTTCTAAACAGCATATGAACAAAACTGCCTTTCATAGATCTTCAATGTCATGAGAATTAAATTCCTCCTGCCATTTTAGTATTTTATGTTTACTGCAAGGACCTCTCCTCAGCTGTAGGGTAGGTGGACACATGGAGGAACTTTATTTGGTCCTAACAAGTGAAGAAGAGTACAACGAAATCAGTGTAGCACAGGTCACACCTATGGCAGTCCCCTGTAAGGCCTCATGAATGGGACATGGGGAGCTGCTCATGAAAATATTATCACTGTCCATATGGCAGTAGAAACACTATGGAAATTAGGAAGACTATGGCAACTCATTCAACTGCAGAATCTGCTTTGTCATCTAAATAAACTAGAAAAACATTTGGCTTCTCTGCCTTGTGTTATGAAATC